AGGGGCTCAAAGTCGGTCGACCACACTCCATATAATAGTAGTAACTAACATTTTACATATGTAACCGGTTTCGGTGCTACGGCCATCATCAGACAAATACTAAGTACCTAAAAGTTTAAAAAACGAAGACAATCAAATGTGAATGAAGACTATAAATTCAACATACCGAACAATACAATTCAAACAAAACATCACTGAATAATTAACAATCATGCCATGGGTTGAGACACGGGCAATAAGTTGATTGGTTTAAATCTAATGAAGAGCCAGAAAAAACTGGCTCTGATAAGGTCAAACATCATCAGATATCGGAAAAAAACTACATCATATTAAAAAATGAGTATGAAAATGTCACCACGACCGGCGGCCATAACAATTCGATCAGTCCTATAAGGAACAAGATACATTATAAGCAATTGAAATTTGACACATTGACGGATGAACACAAAACAATAAAATTAAGTGACAACTGATGTCTCCACAATAGAACAATGGTACCACGAGAAAAAAGAAATAATAAGAAGAGCTAGCGGGAAAAAAGAAAAAGAAGAAGAGAGGAGAAGAGTGGTGAAGGAGAACAAGAAAGAAAAAGAAGAATAAGAAGATTGAAAGGAAAATAAAATGAGAAGAGAAATAATTATAAACTGAATCTCAGTGGCGGCGCATAGACTGTGGAATAAAGGAGGGGGCGGGATTATATCAATTTTAAGGTCCTAAAAATATGACTACGTTCGAAGTTAGTTTGATCATTAAGACAAGAAACGTCTTGGTTGTTGATGCATTTCTGAATTTCCATGATTTCAAGCAGGTTTAACCTAGTACCTTTGTCACAAATGTGAAGGATATCTGAATTAATACTAACATCAAAAGAATGGTTAGAGTCAATAATGTGATTGGCAAAAGAAGATGAAGCATTAGGGCCTATCAAAAATTTGTTTATGTATGTTTTATGTTCAGAAAAACGAGTGTCAAAGCTTCTACCTGTTTGACCTATGTAAGCAGCATTGCAATCGTTGCAATTTAATTTATAAACACCTGATTTTTTGTTTCGGGGAATCCTGTCCTTGGAGTTAACAAAAATATGTTTGAGATTCAAAGTTGTTTTATAAGAAATACGAATATTAAAATTATTGAACAATTTGGCAATTTTGTAAGTGTAAGGCACAAAATAATTAATAGATCTGAAAACAGGAGGTACGGGGGGTTGACTAGAAATGATATCAAAGGATAATTTGAATTTGGTGTAGAATTTGAAATAAATGGACATGACTTGTTCTAAGGGATAATTGTTATTAACAGCTATTTGTTTGATAATGTTAATCTCCTTAGAGAAGCATAATCTGAAAGAGGTAATGAGAAAGCCCTATGGAAAAACTATTGAAGGCTGCGTACTTATGAGAATATGGGTGATTAGAATCAAAGGGAATTATAGAATCTGTGGCAGTTGGTTTCCTGTAGACTTCAAAATCGAATCTAGAGGTAGAAATATTTTTTGAAATAAATAAATCAAGAAATGGTAAAGAATTATTGGATTCAACCTCTATGGTGAACTTAATGTTCGGGTGTAGGGAATTGATATGATCTAAGAAAACAAGAACATCTGGAAGAGCACCATCAAACAAAAGCAAACAATCATCCACATACCTATAGTAAAACACAAGTTTAGAATTGAACATTGGGTTATTCAAAAACTGTTTTTCAAAATTATTCATAAAAATTTCTGCTAGTAGAGGTGATAAATTACTGCCCATGGCAAGCCCAGTGGTTTGGCGGTAGAATCTATTATTGAATTGAAAAAAGTTTTGGTTAAGAACCATAGCAAGTAAATCACAAATATCAAAAATTTGGTGCAATAAGATATTGTTATTCAGAAGTAAATTTCTGACCAGACAAATGCAATCATCAGGAGGAATGCTAGGGAATAAATTCGTGACATCAAAGGATACTAAGACAGAAGATGGGGGGATGTGAACATTTTTTATCTTATTTGCTAAATCAACTGAGTTTTTAATTGAATGATAATTGTCAAAAGCAGTTAAATCTCTCAACAACTGATTGAGAAAAGAAGCAATTTTACAACAAGGGGAGTTAATGAAAGAAACCACTGGTCTAATAGGAATGTTAGGCTTGTGGATTTTTGGAAGTCCATATAGTATGGGTGTAACTGGGCACATGGGGTATAGTTGAAGAATATGCCATATGTTTCTAATGTTGTTGAACAAATTTTCAATACATTTTTTAATTTTGTGAAATAAGGCTTGGTAGGATCTAAACTAATAACTTGGAAAGAATCTGAACTAAGGAAAATTTCAACTTTTGAAATATAATCTGTTCTATCTAAAGCTACAATGCAGTTGCCTGGAATTCAAAAGGAAAAAAATAAATTTCAGTTTGATATTGACAAGATTGAGGTTGCTATAGTGACGCTTGATCTCTTGTTGTGTCCAAATTCTCCTGGCAGCTGAGATAGTGTTGAATGAAGTCCTAGAACTAACATTGGTGTGCAACGATATAGATCTTGGATACACATTAAAGCGCAAACATCTCTGTAAAAACCATATCTTCAAAAGGGATTTCTTCCTCCACATCATATTGTCTTGGTACTTGAGGATGATTAGAGCTTGACTAGCATTAGACAAATCATGAAAATCATCCATTTTCTCAAAGTGGTCCACAGTATTTTCAAGAAGAAAAAAACTAGGGGCTCAAAGTCGGTCGACCACACTTCATATAATAGTAGTAACTAACATTTTACATATGTAACCGGTTTCGGCGCTACGGCCATCATCAGACAAATACTAAGTACCTAAAAGTTTAAAAAACGAAGACAATCAAATGTGAATGAAGACTATGAATTCAACATACCGAACAATACAATTTAAACAAAACATCACTGAATAATTAACAATCATGCCATGGGTTGAGACACGGGCAATAAGTTGATTGGTTTAAATCTAATGAAGAGCCAGAAAAAACTGGCTCTGATAAGGTCAAACATCATCAGATATCGGAAAAAAACTACATCATATTAAAAAATGAGTATGAAAATGTCACCACGACCGGCGGCCTTTTTTCCCGCTAGCTCTTCTTATTATTTCTTTTTTCTCGTGGTACCATTGTTCTATTGTGGAGACATCAGTTGTCACTTAATTTTGTTGTTTTGTGTTCATCCGTCAATGTGTCAAATTCCAATTGCTTATAATGTATCTTGTTCCTTATAGGACTGATCGAATTGTTATGGCCGCCGGTCGTGGTGACATTTTCATACTCATTTTTTAATATGATGTAGTTTTTTTCCGATATCTGATGATGTTTGACCTTATCAGAGCCAGTTTTTTCTGGCTCTTCATTAGATTCAAACCAATCAACTTATTGTCCGTGTCTCAACCCATGGCATGATTGTTAATTATTCAGTGATGTTTTGTTTAAATTGTATTGTTCGGTATGTTGAATTTATAGTCTTCATTCACATTTGATTGTCTTCGTTTTTCAAACTTTTAGGTACTTAGTATTTGTCTGATGATGACCGTAGCGCCGAAACCGGTTAAATATGTAAAATGTTAGTTACTACTATCATTTGAAGTGTGGTCGACCGACTTTGAGCCCCTAGTTTTTTTTCTTCTTGAAAATACTGTGGACCACTTTGAGAAAATGGATGATTTTCATGATTTGTAAAAGAATATCATGAGTTGCCAGTGAACAACGAATATAACATATTAGGTAGTGCGTTGGAATTGTTTATGCAGAGAATTTCAGTTATGCCTGGATTGAATAGCTTATCCAATTTTTTTGGTAAAAAATTCTCAATTGAAGTTTTTGATATTTCGATACTTTTATCGAATGAAAATAGGCCTTGACTCTTGATTCATCATTATTTTCAAAAAAGAGTTCGTTGAGTACGAATATATTATCGGATTTTTGATTTCGAAAATCGGTCAACAGATTCCAAATAAGGAGGGTGTTGGGGATTGTAGACCTCAAAAGCACGCAAAACCAAATTCACTTGCATGAAAGGTAACTTAAAGATGCCGAACTCAACTCTCAGAAAGTTGCTGAAGTTTTGGAGAGTGAATATTTCATGGTGCTACCCAGTTCCAATTTTCACGACTAGGTTTGATAGAAGAAACTTCATTCATGGCGCCACTAGACGGATGTAATATTATGATCTGTTGATATATTTACCTAACCTGATATAACCTACGAACATTCTGAAATTACTAACTTTGACCTAAAAAATCCTATGGAAATCATTAAGTTTGGCCAACTAACAAAAATACTAGATCTAGAACTGAAACGACAAGGCTAAGTATTAATGAAACGGTGTGGTGACCACACTTGAAAAAAGCAAGATTCGATCATGTAACATACCACAATCATAGGAGTACTCTTGTAGAAAATTTCGATATCTCGATTTTTTTATGAGAAACGATTCCTCTTGAACCTACAGAAATGGAGATTTCTGCCAAAAACTGATTTCGACCGTAATTTTTCCATGATGGCGGTACGAGCACTAGTCGCTCAAGGACGCAAACTCAGGGTTATGATCAAGATAACCAAGTCCACTATCCTGCCAAGTCTTATCCCTTCATAATCTTCCGCTCGAAAATACCGTTTCCATGTATCTGATGATTGGACTATTTGAACGTAATTCGAAATAAAACTCTTGAAGTCATCTCATGCCTTATTATCTCACTCCACTATGTGTATGGACTATTAATTCACGTAAGGTGTCGAAGTAACTTCGATGAAAATACTTTCCTTTTACACAGTCGTGATTTCCTAGGTCAATTTCCTAATTTTCGTTTACCCGGCAATAACGAGTCTCCATGAATTCATACTAGATTTATCCATATGTTAGTGATATCTATCATCAGTGATGGGGGTGCGTTCGAATAGGTTTATCAATAACTTGATCATTCTGTTCATGAGTATATTCGTCAGTGAAGTCAGCGGAAACAATATCAAAATCAAGACTGTTAATTAAATTTTATTCATTTCAGAGATTGATGTATCTAGATTTGTCCTACAACAGATTAGCTCAAATAGATGCTGGTGTATTCAGAGCACTTCCAAGATTATCTAGCCTTGATTTGAGTCACAATAGCCAATTAGCATTGGAGCCAAATGGTTTGAGTTTCCAAGGATTGGAATATTCGTTGCTCCACTTGAAGTTGAATAATGTTTCCTTAACTATGGTAAGAACAGTGAGTTGACAAGGTATAACAAGTATTACATCATTGAAGTACCAAAAACACTTTAATATTCATCTGATAACGTGCTTGAAACTTCTCAATATCATATCTCTCTATCAAACCAATTAATGAATTTCGAGAAAACTGAAGAACAATTCTTATCGGGCATTTCTTCTTCAATTTATCAACCGCATGAACTTCGTTTCACAAAAATATTCGAAAGAATTTCATCCAAACAGGTTTCTCAATATGGTCATAATTATATCTCCTCGAAGTTTTTGGATAGTTATATTCGACAGCTCTTTGTCAGTCGAGACAACATCAAAAGTAACTGTTAGGTGAAATAAGTGAAAAGGTTTTCTTGAATTTTCAAATTGATTCGTACCTATCAGTAAAATATGTGTTTCCCCATTAAATGACTTCTTGACCGCTTTGATCAACTCTTGAGATTTTGATGGAGGGTGCATTGAGGAAGCAAAGATGCAATGAATGAGCGATTATATCAAATTCCCTTGATTCGACCACCTTACTCAATCAAAATTTTTTAACGCGATCATGAGGTATTGGATTGTGATTGCATCGCATTTATTCAGGATGAGAACTGTTCGTGTACGTTTCAAATCCATAAAATCGCAAAGGGAAGTGAATAAGATTCAGTATCAAGACGCATTATCTCATTTTCACGAATTCATCAATCTTAGAATTATCTGAACATGTTTCGGACAATCGTTAGTCCATCATCAGCAAAAGTGTTGAAAACATTTCAACATATAAAAATATTTTGCATAGTGAGACTATCGAATTAACTCAAGTTTAGTACTCACATGGAAGTGAGAAAGAATCAACAGCAATGTCAGAATATGATGAATCATTGGTAATAAGTGATAGGGAGTAGAGGAATTGTTGTTAAATGTGTGAAAATACTCAATTGACAAGTGACACAAAATCATCCTATAGCATGAAACAATATGTATCAGACTAGTGACAAGCAGGGCCGTGATAAATCACATGTGACATGTGATTCATTGCGGCCCTGCTTGACACTCGTCTGATATTCTATGTACCATGCTATGAGATATTTTTGTGTTGCTTGTCAATTAACACATGAGTAGATATAAAACAGGAATTCTAGCGCACGGGAGTAGGATGGCAAAAGTGTCGGCGAGATGTTGTCTAGGGCGTACCTGGTCACATATGTAATTCATTAACATCAGTAGACAGAGGAGGGAGAATATAATTTGCTGACCAAAATTATCAAAGTATGCTTACCAAGCATTTCTGGTTCGAATTTCCTCTTCAAATTGCATATTAGAATTTTCTATATGAATATATAGATGCCACTAGTAAAATGATTCCGAACCACCCTTTCACAGGGGTAGATTATTCATGCAGTTTTTCAAGAATCCTTGCTGACCGAGCATTTCTGGTTCGTATTTTGCCATCGAATCACATATATGGATATCTCACATAAATTCATAGATGCCACCAGTAGAATGATTTCGATCCACCCCTTTAGAGGGATAGTTTATTCTCGCAGTTTTTCAAATATCCTTGCTGACTGAGCATTTCTGATTCCAATTTCCTCTTCAAATTGCATATATGTATATCTTTTATAGATGAAAATCTGCAAGAATAAACTACCCCTCTGAAGGGGTGGATAAAATAATTACACTGGTGGCATCTATATATTTATATAAGATATCTGGATATGTGATTTGATGAAGGAATACGAAACAGAAATGCTCGGTCGGCAAGGAAAAACTGCAAGAATAAACTACTCCTCTGAAAGGGTTGATCGAAATAGTTCTACTAATGGCATGTATTAATATTTATGTGATATTCAAATATGCTATTTGATAGAAAAATACGAACCAGTATTGCTCGGTCAGCTAAGTTTTTTGAAAAACAGCAAGAATAATCTACCCCTCTAAAGAGGTTGGTCGAAATAGTTACAATAGTGGCATCTATACATACAGTGTGTACATAAAGTAAGGAATAAATTCATTATCTCGAAAAGGAAAAGCTTTTCGGAAAAATCCTTGGACACGTCAACTTTTGTTTCAAGATGCGCATCTTTTGGAGTCCTAGTCGGAATGGTGACGTCATTACTCTTCCGGAAATGTCATCATCGATTTCTTTTTCAAATGGCAACCTATAGTTTTGACAGTGCCATTTGAAAGAGCATATTTTTCTCCACACAGCACATCAAAAGTTTTGTCATGTTACATAAGGAAATTTTCGAGAAAATGAATGTTATCATGATTTTATAGTAATTTATTTTACACAGTTGATTGCACAAACTAATTGATCAAATGTTCAAACTGAAGTCCTTCCTGAGCCTGGCAGTATCCAAGACGGTCAATAAATTCTCGTTGGACTTTCGTGATAGTTCGTGGAGTAATATTGTTACATTCATTTGTAATCCTAGTTTTCAATTCCTCGATATTATCTGGTCTAGTTTTGTACACGACATTCTTTAGATGGCCCCAAAGAAAAAAATCTAATGGAGTAAGGTCCGGAGATCTTGGGGGCCATTCAATAGCACCACGCCTACCTATCCATCTATTGGCAAAGACTTGGTCAAGATACCTTCTAACATCAGCTGCGTAATGCGGCGGTGCACCATCTTGCTGGTACCATAAGTTTTTATTTGGTATAGCAGGGTTATTTGCGTTAGGAAATTAGATCACCAGACTGGGTATAACATGATCCTGTAGGAATTGAAGGTATCTTGCACCATTTAAGGTTTCTTCGAAATAGTGGGGTCCAATAATTCTGTTTTCTACAATCGCCGCCCAAACATTTATTTTCTGAGAATACTGTGTGTGATGTTCTCTCATCCATTTTGGATTCTCCTTAGCCCAGTACCTGCAATTCTGCCGATTCACTGTTCCTGTTAGTGTAAAGGTAGCTTCATCAGAGAAAGCAATATTTTTTACTAGCAAAGGGTTGGCATTGCACAAATCCATTAACGTTTGGCAGAACTGCATCCGTCGGTCTGGATCGTCCTCGGAAAGTTCTTGGGTCAGAGTCATCTTATAAGGATGCCACTTTTCCAATTTCATAATTTTATGTGTAGTTGTAACTGGGATATCTAGATTTTGGCTCAGGCTTCTTAGGCTGTTGTGTGGATTTTCCTCCATTGCTAATAAAACATTCAATTTGACCTCCTCATTGATTTTAGGACGCCCAGCTTTAGGAAGATCATCAACACTACCAGTGTCTCGAAACTTTTTCTCAACTTTGCTTACTGCCGATTGAGTTATGGGCCTATCCGGGTATTTGGTATTAAACAGTCCAACTACTTCTTGTTGCGTTCGTACTCTATCACCGTAGCCAATCATCATCACAATTTCGATTCTCTGAGTAACAGAAAGGCGCATTTTATTCTTAATTGTTTCGAAAAGAAGAGAATCAATGAAATATGAACTTTCAAACTGTGGCATACATCAACCAAACGTCAGGTATCACAAACAGTAACATGTCTTTTTACGATAATAAAAAGGGTGATTTTTTTAGGGCATAGCAAAAACGAACTCACCAGTGGCGTGCTGACAGAGAACTTTACAATGCTAGGAAGGACTTTTTGAACCCTTCATTAATTAGTTTGTTCAACTAACCGAATAAAGTAAGTTAACTTAAAATCAATAAATCATTAATTTTCTCGAAAATTTCCTTATGTAACATGACAAAACTTTTGATGTGCTGTGTGGAGAAAAATATGCTCTTTCAAATGGCACTGTCAAAACTATAGGTTGCCATTTGAAAAAAAAATCGATGATGACATTTCCGGAAGAGTAATGACGTCACCATTCCGACTAGGACTCCAAAAGATGCGCATCTTGAAACAAAAGTTGACGTGTCCAAGGATTTTTCCGAAAAGCTTTTTCTTTTCGAGATAATGAATTTATTCCTTACTTTATGTACACACTGTATATCTATATGAGATTATCAAATATGTGATTTGATGGTAAAATACGAACCAGCAATGCTCGTTCAGCAAGGATTATTGAAAAACTGCAAAAATGAACTACCCCTCTGAAAGGGTGGATCGAAATAATTCCACTGGTGGCATCTATATATTCCTATAAGATAACCAAATATGCAATTCAAATAGAAAATTCGGATCAGAAATGCTCCGTCAGCATACTTTTATTCTGGTCAGCAAATTATACACCGCTGACAGGGGATGTTCACATTAACAGTAAATATTCACATCAACAGTAAATGTTCACATCAACAGTAAATGTCCATATTAACATTCCAGGAAATCGTATTGCGCAATATTTCGCGTGTGACCGTTTATGAGATATGACTTCAAAACTACCGCCCAGGTATGTGAATTGAAGAAATTTTGCGCTGAAAATCGTACCTTTGTCCTACAGACTGCGAGCCAAACGCTTCGAAGTCTATTAATTCACTCAAAATATAAATATATCACACTTCAATACATTTCACAATACAGGTGTGTAAGTCCCATGAGGGGTGCATGAGCGATTCACTCCTGTTTTGTCCTCCGTGCTGTTCAGAGGTGACTCAGTGGCTCAGAGGCTCAGAGGCCGGTCTCCTAGGGCATGTTTCTGATAGCGCGTTATTTTATTATTCTCACGTTTGAGAGATCGTGGTATTTTCCTGTTGTCATCTTTTGAAGCTCTAAAGATTCACGAGTTCCGGAAGAGGACCCGTTATGGATCATCCCGCTCCCCAAAAAGATCAGTTGATGCATAATATGTCAGCCCGTGTTTCACATGAATATTGTGGTGGGCTCTTGTTCGGTTCATTTTACTCGATTTTTTGGGATTTTCTCTCCACGTTTCCATGAAATAAAAATACGCGTATTATTTCAATATATTTGTAGTGAGACAAATCAGATGATTTGCTTCGAAATGTCACTGCGTTTGAAGAATTTTTTTTATCAGAGAGCCTAGATAAAAATCCAGTAGTCATTGACAATTTGTTTGGAAAATGTTTGAAGGAAACAAATATAGATATATTGAAAAATA